ACTTAGAGTATTTTGAATGGAAGAAGCGTTTTTAAGAGGTTATCTTCAATGGAAAAAAATTGAAATGTATGAGAAGCATTTTTTGGATACGCCATTCCACTGCCCTTTGAGGAAAAAAGGTTCCGCTGAAATGGCAAGTTGAGAATATAGAAAAAGTTCGGCAGAGCCTTCCCCTTAATGTGGGCACATCTAAGCAGTCGTTTGCTATCTTTGCACGATCGCGATTAACGTCTTACTTAAACACCTATTTCCTATAAAACACGGAACTCGTACTGGTTGCCAGCGGGACGCATCTGTGCTGCTTTTCCTCGGGCCTAGATGGACGTCCTGACAGCCGTAATAGCTGGCAGTATAAGCGGATAGTATTGTTGGCCAAGACAAAGGAGACTCAAATTGCCATTTCTGGCTTATAAGCCGTCGTCAGCAAGCCATACCCAGAACAAAGTGGTGTCCCACCCGAGCCTTGAACATGCGATCTCTTTGATCAGAATCTAACGCCCTAACCATTAAGCCACGAGCTCGTTTTCTTGCCGGGTTATGTCGGGGGAGGGGGTATTGACACCCGTTGATGAACGTTCCCCCGATCGCTAACGGAAATCATCTGCCCTTCTGTGCGTTAGGCCTCGACAGGAACCCTGATAACCTTAGCAGTTTGTCGTAGGTCTCAAGGTTGCCAGAGGGCATGGTGGCAAGCTAGATGCATCAACTTTCCGGTATGTATGACGACAGCATTTTGGCTTTTGGCATGATAAATAACCGGTTATTTTTGTCATACACGGACATTTTTTACGTGGTAACCTTCTTCTGATACGCCCAAACATGCCCGAAAAAAACCCAATTTAGAAAATGCTTCTGGAAGGCGCGATGAAAATTATCCTGCACAGTACATATGAAAGTCCTGCATTGTCAGTTAAATAAGAGGAAACCAGATAAAAACGAAAACATTTTTTCTGTAGGCGGCAGACAGGGTGACTGTTTTATTTAACTCTTTTCCCCCTTCTTTCCGCCAAACGCTTTGGACGATTGTACGGTGCCAGACTTAGGGGAGCAACGCGTTCATATTGGTTTGATCTTCAGATATCAAAGGAGTCATGCAAGTTGAATTTTTTTCTGTTGGCACCAGAACGAACCAACACTTTTATCTTGACGTGCTGGAACGATTGCGTGAGGAGATGGCATTAAACAGCTTACATTCTGGCAATCGAGGAAGGGACGGCCTAAGAGCACTAGTTCGGAGGAATATAGAATGTTTTTAATAGGGAATAATCCCTGTGAATGAATGCATATCTCCCAGTGGAGAGTATTTTGGAGGGGAGTAGTGTTTTTAAGATGATATATTAAATATGAAAGCTTGAATAAATAATCTTCGTTTTATGGGTCTGCGCAATTGGCAAGATTAGAATGCATAGATAGATAGATAGATGGGTATTTAAACAAAGTAAAAGAAGTAGCACGTTTTTGCTAAGAAACATAGTTTTTTTTTGATAAATTCCAAGTTCTGGAGATTAAAAAATAGGTGTAAATTAAAACAAAAAATTTAAATCTTTTCTTAATTTGAAAAGATTACGTAATCAATATCTTAATATAAAAAGAAATGTTCTTTGATCCATTTTTTAGACATGGTTATTAATTGATAACTATTTATTTACTATCCATCGTTAAATTTTGTCATAATTTCGAGTATTCTATGTGTCTTCATATGTTTTTCCATCTTTTATGATTCCGTTTGACGTTGACATCAAAACGTTCAAAATAAAATGTACGTCAAGATAATTTACCGAACAATTAGTTTTTTGGATATAAGTTCATATCAAGATTGCCACGTGGACCATATTTAGAAGGGGAAAAGTAGAGCACGACTCGATTCACCTAGCGTTTCTAAATTTATCGCGGACTTATCATCAGGGACATACTCACATAACAGTAGCAGAAACAGTTTGCGTGTGCACAGGGTTTTTACGTAAAATTTAAACGTACAGAAAATTGTCGAGACATCTGTGCAGAAACTGGATGTGCGAAAAGGTTGAGGCCTCACGAAAGGTTAATGTTTCCCATGGTCGTGCCGATCGAAGCGCATCGTGCCAAATAAATTGTTAATACAAACGAGCATGCGGGTCCCAGTAAGCAGTTAAAAATTAGAAGACGACTCGTAAAATTTAAATGCACAGAAATTGTCGAGATACTTGTGCAGAAACTGGATCTGCGAATAGGTTGAGGCCTCAAAACAGAAAACCATATTTTTGAGCATAGAGAACATCAACAACATAACTCTGATATTCTCATTCATAAAAAGACCTTCTGTAATAGACTTCCTCTTGAAAAAGCGCTTTAATTAGACATTTCAGAATATTGAGAAGCTAAATAACTTACAAGAACTCTTGACGGTCACATGTTTTGTTGATTTAATGCTGTCAAAAGACATATGGTAGCCCTCAGGTAAAATAAAAAAGTCCAAATTGGACTTGCTGCATTCACAGCTTCTAAGAGGCAGCCTGTTTGCGAAAATGTTTGTTCTAACTTCCTCTTTGCATTTTTTAGCTAAAAGGAAAAGCAATTTTACCCCGTTATCCGCGTCAAAAACAAAATCGCGCGCTCACAATCAGGAGGCTGACAGTCTTGTTGACAATACAGAAACCCTGCCTTGTGATCCTTTTTAACACCTGGCGTCTAGATCAGCAGCAGATCGCTGAACACATGCTGCAACAGAGGCACGACTTCTCCATAGGGCACTTAGTTTAAATGACGCTGTCTTGCAGTCATAAAATTATTCTAGCCGTCGGTTACGTACATATCACACACCACAAGCTGTAATCTGGCGATTTATAGGTGCCTCCTTCATTTTCTATTGCTCGCTGGTTATTATTACAACTTTATTTAAAATTGACTTGCTGTCTTAAAAACGTATCCTCAGAATGTTCTCTTTAGCTGCTGGTTTTTCTTATGCTTTGTTAACTGATCTTATACTACAGCAACAATTTAACATGATCAAGCACTTTCCTGATCGCATTCTAGACGAAGTTGCCACCGAACCCACTCCGAATTAATGGCTGCAAAGTCTTCTAGTACTATGTGCCGAAGTTTCCGACATTTTTACTGCCATAAATCAGCATTTCAAAATTCTGTACTTCCATTCCTAGCAAGCTACCTCATATTTAAAGAAATGTAAATCCAGAATTTCCGATTAGACAAGACTCCATAGTAGATGTCAGTGCGATGTATACCTCTAGATTTTGATAATTTCATTACTTTATCCCGTAGATTTAGTGAATGGAACCCTTTTTCGCTGAATATTTTGGAAGCCACCTTCCAAATAAAGCGTTTTACCATCTCTTTCGCATCCATGTAGGGAAGCTTGACGCATCCAGTCTTCGGTATTGTCGTGGCGACGGCATTTTGGTCTTTGCTATGATAAATAACCTGTCTTTGTCGCCAGATGCGGACATTTTTGCGGAGGCAAGGCTCACCATGGTAACTCCCTGTCGCATATGACCGTCTGCTTTGAAAATGTACCTTGTATGCAACTGAATGGTGGTGGGAGGGGAAGAAGTTAGCCAAAACCAGTACAACACAGATTACCTTTTTAATGCGCCCTCAACAAGAAAATAAATGCTTAACTGATGTTACAGTATGTATTGCCCTGGGCACTGGTTTCAATTTAAAAGTACATAAACAAACCTGGCTCACCAATCATACGTTTTGCCAGAGATTTTCTGTGTTTGTGTAAACGTAACTTTATGGACAAAACAATTCTTGTGGTTGGAAACGTACTTTATGCATCACAGGGGTAAAATGAACAAAAATTAGGTGTTTACTGGTAGCTGGGGTTGGAGAAAAAACGTATAAAATCAAATTGACTCCGAAGCGATAAAAGTTAATATGGCTGAAGACTAAGCAAACTTCAAAAATATCTTCGCTTTTTTGATAAACTGCGAAATCCTCACTGATTCCTCTTCCTATCGGAATGACACAGGAAAGGTTGATTAAGGAACATAAACAGCACTATTTTGACGCACATTTTTGATTCCGGACATCGTGTGGAACCAAACGAATTCTTTCAGGTGATTTAAAATGTCCCACAAAACTACCTCAAGTCCGTAGGTCACCGCCCCCTGGCAACAGTGGACGCGACGCCTATCAGGTTGAGGAAGTCGCACAAAAAGTCCCCCTGCAAGCTCCGCGCCTGACATGACCAGCGCTGAAAGGTGAGCAGTTTTTGCAACGCCATTGCGTATGCATTCGGCTCCTCTGCTGAATATCTTCAACCTTAGAACGAGGCCAAAATGTAAACAAATATATTGGAAACACCCCTATATAAAGAGAAAAGTGAGTTATTTCACTCTGAGCCGAAAGTGTATTACTGTTTTAGGGAAGTCAAAAAATGAAGGAAACTTGCGCCTTTGTACTTTGAAGTACTTTAAGAAAGGCCGTGATGTCAGCGCAAAGTAATAGGCCTGGCATGGCCAACGGTCGCTTAACTGCACTGTTCCGCGCTCTTCATTGCTCTTTCCCGTCTTCCCCTTAGACACTCCGCGCCGCGTAATAAGCTTTCTCTTATCCATTCCTCCCCGCCCCCATTCCCATAACTTACTCGTATGATAAGGTTAAACATTACTGACCACATTTTTTAACCTTGAACCCTATTTCTATATAAACGTGCTGGCCTGATTTGAATATATCAAAAGCTTACGTATGGTCGCCAACTGCTCTTCCGGATTCCCTATCTAATGAAACCTCAACTGAACTTCTGTAATGCTTAATTCCTTCGAAAAAAAATACGTGAGAAGAATTTTAAGACTGAGACTCGGTCAGTCTAATATCAAGATGTTTAAGTCATGTGAGGACCTTATTTAAGAAGCGAATTTGACTAAGTTTTCAGGTGCATACTAGTCCTGCAGAAAGCCCACCCTCTTATGCGTTTGGTCACCTTTTCTAGAATATCTTAGTGGGTGAACCGATTTGGACATGTAGCTGCCCGTTATCGTGATTGTCAGAGCCGTCACTTACGCGTGACGTAAACTCCAGTTCGCCACACCTCGTCTCGGAGCATCGAGCATAACTACCGCGGCATAAGCCTCATCGATATTGCTGCAAAGATTTTCGCTATTGTTCTCTTCAGGCTGTTCCAGTGTGTGCGCGACTCTAGGACGCGACTCAACCAGGCCGGATTTTGTGCTGGGCGTGGATGTGTAGATCAGATATTCACACTGAGACGGATCCTTGAATTCCGCCATAGCTACCAACAACTAACGGCCATCTGCTTTGTTGACTTTGCCGCTGCGTTCGACTCCGTCTATCGTGACTCCCGATGACGGATAACGACATTTGATGGTGTACAACCAAAAATAATCGCCATGATCAACACATACTACCGCTCCACCACTGTGCTGGTTTTAGTCCACAACAACCTCTCAGAACCCTTCCATATTCGGTCAGGCGTTCGGCAAGGCTGTGTTCTATCGCTCATCCGCTTTAACTACGTCGTTCACTGCGTTCTCGGGCAGGCCCTATAAGAAACTGACAGTAGTGAGCTTTGCAACGGACGCCGGTTGACTGACCTCGACTACGCCGATAATATCGCTTTACTAGCTTCAAGCTTTTGCAATCTACAGTCTATGGAGCCACGAGTGAACGCGGTCGCGAAATCAGTCGGTTTGTCCATAAACGCTGGGAAGACCAAAATGTTGTCATGCTGCATCCCTGCCGAAGAGAAGACACCTCTCGAAATTAGTGGCTGTCAACTTCAAGAAGTCGATAGTTTCAAATACCTCGGAACGAGTTTGCTACCCAATGGACAGAGTAAGGATGACATTGTCTCCCGAATTGACGCAGCACGACGAGTTTCTCCAGCTTTCAGAAGTTCTTATGGACCCGACGCGATATTTCTATCTCAAAAAAGATCTGCGTTTACCGTGCATCTGTGCAGTCCGTTCTCCAATACGAATGCGAATGCTGGTCTATGCGCGTGGCGGATGAGCAGAAACTGGAAGTCTTTGACAACTACTGTCTGAGGAGTACCCTTCGAGTGAAGTACA